TCAGGCAAAAAGGTATAAAAAGTCACCCCTCAGCCCTGATTTTTGTGGCTGGTTTGTGATTATCCTGTTACTCCTGCCCCAAAGGTGGCCCCTCTTCTCTTTCTTCCAGAATCTCTGCTCCACAGACCTGGCACTGTGCTTCCTCCGCCCCACCTGGTCACTCTCAGCTCCCAACATGTCTTCTTTGCCACTGCAGACAAAAAAAAACAACCCACACAGACACACTCCTCCTCTAGATCTGGTCACCGTATCTCCAAAAGGACATTGCAGAGCTGGGAAAAGTACAGAGGAGGACAATCAAAATGATTAGGGGCTTGGAGCACCATCCCTATGAGGAAAGGCTGAAGAGTCTGGGACTTTAGAAAAGAGACGACTAAGGGGGTGGGGACATGATAGAGGTTTATAAAATTGTGCATGGAGAGAGTTGACAAAAAGACATTTTTCTCCCTCTCCCAGACTACTAGAACTCAGTGGCATCCAATGAAGTTGATGGGCAGTAGGTTCAGGACGGACAAAATACTTCTTCACACAGCGAGTGATTAAAATGTGGAATTCGCTGCCAGAGGATGTAGTGATGGCCACAAGAATAAACAGTGTTAAAGGGGGATTAGATAGATTCATGGAGGACAAGTCTATCAATGGCTACTAGACATGGTGACTGAGGGGAACCTCCACATTCAGAGGCACTAAGCCTCTGAATCCCAGAGACAGGAGGCAAAATCAGGGGAAGGTCTTGGCCTCTATGCCCTATTGCTGGCCATCCAGATAAACTGGTTGGTTACTCTGTCAGACAGGATGCTGGACTAGATGGACCACTGGTCTGATCCAGCAGCAATTCTTATGTTCTTATGTCTTGTTTTCTCTCATAAGGTTTGTGTATTCAGTAGGCAGGCAGCCATTCTAGGGAAAGGTTTTTGTGTTTTATGTACTGTTCCCCCATATTGCACTTCTGTTCTGTAATTTTCATTACTACTCTCTATTGCATACATTAATTTGGTTTCTTTTTCTGTTTGTAAAATAAAACCCTGTTTGCTTAAAAGTATTTTCCCCTTGTTTTTTTAGTGTTGATCTGGACTTGTACCTCCATATACATAGGCTAAACAAACCCAGGTATCCATGTGGCCAGAAGACATCTGTTCGTTCCGTACTGGCAGGGGGACACCTCTGCACATTATGGCCCTGACATGTGTATACCGATTTGGGTAACACTTCTCACTAAAAGAATCCTGTTAAAAAATAATAAAAAATAATAATAATAAAGAATCCTGGGAATTGCAGTTTGATAATATTGCTGAGAACTCTCTGCTAGAGGTCTCTGTCCCTCTCATTCCCTTAGGAGAGGGAAGGAGTTGGCACACCATTACTCCACTACTCCACAGAAAAGCTCTTTTCGATAAAAATCCAGAAGACACCAATCTCATCTTCACATAGAGTTTAATGAGACGCACTTTGTCATACACCAGAGAAAAGAAATCCCCACCAAAAGTAACATTAGCAAGGAAAAGGTCATTCCAAAAAGAGGACGCTTGGAACACAACCCAGCCACATTTAAGCACTTGCCAGTCCTGCTGATTTCGACAGGTGAGATTTGGACTGCAGGTATCTTACATATTCTTTGAAAAGCCATTGCTGGTCAGAAAAACTGCAAACTGGTAGTTGGAGAAGAGTACCAGGTAGGATACTTATTTGCATGCAAAAGGCCATGTTCGCAGGGAGTTATTGTTGGTCTCAGTGACCAAGGCGTTTACAATGTGAACCAAACAGCAAATGAAATACAGTTTAAGTGTGAAGAGAATTGTATGCCCCTACTCCTAGAACTGTTTCTTCACATGGTCCTTCTAAGAGTCATCCTTTCCCAGAAAAGCTCAAATCACCATAGGGAGAAGAACAATCTCTTTATTTGATAAATCTGGGATAAGCATGATCCTCCTAGTGGCCCCATGGGAAGTACCCAAAGTGAGAATGGTTCAGGAGGACAGCACAGTGTCCTAAATAACACCCTGTAGAACTACCCACAGCTGTTTGCTTTTGATCATGCAAATGCAGCTTTAGTCAGTTCAACATCTGTTAACTGAATACAGTATTGTCCATGGGTGCAAACGCAAATGGGGACCTGATCTGTACATGAGGGCATGAAATGCATCAACAATGACTGAAAGACAAAGAATGCAAGGCCAACAGGTTATTTTGGGAGAATCAGCACAGTGCTCATAAGAAATGAAGATCATTTCTCTGAAAAGTGCCAAGAAGAGCAGGAGGAGTGACTTGGATCACTGCATCAGATGGCAGAAAATGCATCTTCTATCCAGGAGCTATATTGCGATTGCTTCCATTTCTTACAGTTACTTGCTTGAAGACCTGAGGGTGGTGGATGACGTTGTGGTTTTCTTCACAATGGTGCCACCGCCAGAAACATATCCTCCCCCTGGGGAGCAAACTCCTCCTCCTCCTCCTCCTATGCTGCACATGCCTCTTCCACTGCTGGAGCTGAAGCCTCCAGATCCCCCGTAGCATCCTCCTCCATAGCCGCCTCCGTAACCGCCTCCATAGCCACCAGTAGAAACGTTAGAACCAACAACAGCTGGAAAGGTGGGAAATCAGGGATATTACAAAGTAATGTTGGACTACTATGGCCAGTGAATACTTAAGACTAAACTGTCTCACTCCGGTCCTCAAATACTTCCATATGCCTCATGCCTATTGCAAATCCTATCTTTAAGAGTAACCCTCTGTGGGTTTCTCATGGTGATAAACACTCACTGGTGTAACTCTGCAGTAGAGAGTCATATAGAGCTTGTTCCTGGAAAAGAGTCTGATCAGTTAAAATGGCCACCTCATCAGGCACTAACAACCATCATGTTGCCATATATGGGGGGGGATAGAATTTACTTTTGTTCTCCTCCCCAGGGCATAATTTCAGCCAGATGTTCTCTGGGACTTAGTAGAACCCACAGCCCCTCTGAGGAGGGGCCATGGCTCAGTGGTACAGCATCTGTTTGGCATGCAGAAGGCCTCAGGTTCAGTCCTTCCTATCTCCAGTTAAAAGGACCTGAGTCCTGTTCAACCACCAAGCACTAACTTTATTGGAGGAAATCTGGGTTGCACTTGTGGCTGAGTCATGGGCAAATCATTCAGCAAGCCACTACGGCAACTCTCAACCAAAAGTTGTTTTGGGAAGTTTCTATACAGCATTTGTAACCAGTAGACTACCCATCTCATAAGGTTTTATGACACATTACAACAGCTTATCAGCGTGGCACCAAAACCACTGACTTTCTGGTATCTTAAAAGTATACATGATGGTGCCCAGGGAAATCTGTTTTCACCATTTCCATCCTTCTTCTCCCATGCTCTCTCTCTGGATGAGGCTTCAGCCTTGTCCTTATCTACTGCAAAGCATGTGACAGTGGTAGCTCTTTGCCACTGAAGCAGCATCAATACACGCTGCCGTGCTGGCGCATGCTTCTGGCCGAAGATGTGGTGTTGTACAGACACAGTAGTGAATACATGTTAGTTGACAGCACAGCAACTTTTAAGACACAAACACTCTTTAAAAGTGTGGAATATGCGATTGCTACTTACAGATGCTCACGGCATTCTGGCATTCTCCAGACATCCTATGGAAGAAAGAAACTAGGATTTAGGTTGTGGATTCCATCAGGCATTCCTATGCAGATTCCAACAATGTGCAATCAATATTAGCCAATCCCTTGAAGGTTTATGACTTCTGCTGTCAGGGCTCCATTGGCCTATGGAAGTCTCTATCGTACAATGGAAAGAACAGACAAGGGAAGATGCAGGGAGACCTATGCTATGTTCCTTGCTTGGCAATGGAGTTAGCTTTTGCAGAGTAGTTCTCAGGGTATTCTCAGACGGTCCTAATATAAAGAAATATTGTTTCAGCCTGTCCAGTAGTTGAAGTCCAGATGTGCATGGTACTTTTGCTCATAATGGTCCACAGTGATTGCAACACTGCATGATATCCACACACACACCAAGAACAAGAGCATACACATGATACGAGGTAGACACCGTTTCGCCCCATGTTCATGCTTGTGTGCCACAGCACCCAATAAGGCCATGAGCACTACCATCATGATTTGTGTTTCCACAGCCTAATAACAGCTTTTTCCAGTCCAGCAGGTGTCTGCCAGGACTCATTCCTGGAAAACCACAACTTGTAATAACTAAGAGGATTCCTCTGAAGGTAAGACCAACTGCATGACCTTTCTCACCACAGAATGCTCCAGCTTGTCACTTCTGGAATGCTGGACCAGGGCATCTGAGAAGGCTTCAAATCCCAACATCTCCCCCCCTTTTTTTTTAGAATTTAACCTCAACAACATTACTTCAAGAAAAAAGCTCCTTCCTAACCCCCCCCCCATATTGTTCTCAGCAAGAATCTGTACTCCTCCTTTCTGTGTGTTGCACCCACCTGCTCTCCTCTCCTTCCAGCAGTTTCCTGTAGGTGGCAATCTCAATATCAAGGGATATCTTGCAGCTCATCAGTTCTTGGTATTCTTTCAACAGACGAGTCATCTCTTCCTTGGCCTTCTGCAGAGCTACTTCCATTTCGGCCAGTTTGTCCCTGGCATCCTTGATGGCCAGCTCACCACGTTCTTCTGCTTCTGTAATGGAGGTCTGCAGCTTTTCACACTGGAAGATAAGGTGGACATCCAGAGAACTGTGATCAGGGAACTATGTATAAATTCCATGTACTAAGAATCTTGATGCCAAGAAACAATACCTCATAATCAAAGGAGAAAGCTTGTTCAGACAGGCAGGGGTCATTTCGTAGAAAAAGAGCTAGCATAACTCATTAGCATATGCCACACTCCCTGACATCAGGGGCCCGGCGGTGGACCTGCAAGGCCGGCAGGAGTGTGAGGAAGCCCCGCCAAGGCCCTCCCTGGCCCCAGGCAGGCAGGGGTGGGGAGAGGCGGGGAGGAAGCAACTTACCCTCCCTCTTCTCCTGCCTTCTCCTGGCTGAATGAGGGCTGGAAGCGGGGCGGATGGAAGCAGGGGGCGGGGCTTCATTGTGTGCCCCGCCCCCCGCACCTCACCCGGGGGAACTGCGATCCCCCACGTTCCCCCCCGAAATGACCTCTGCAGACAGGCCATCCTATCTCACCCCGCTACCTTTTGTATGAAGTTCCTATATTGAGTCAAGTGACATGGAAGGGTGCATAAGTCATGATTCCACAGGAGCACAGAAAATATCCAGAATGGGCCCAGAATTCTGTTTAAGGGATTCACAGGCTTAATTTCTTTAAGGGGTCAAAGACAGGCTTGAAAAGTATGGCCGATACCTACAGCTCTTCCCACTGGGATTTGAGAAGAACAGAGAATCAGATTTTGTCACAGCTGGCAAGAGTGTCGTTGAATGAGACCTCTAGTGATCAAGGAATGGGATCCTTTCCTATTGCCATGTCAGGCAGAAACAGAAGCCAAGCTACACCTTCAGAAATGCATACTGTCCTTCTGAAATTGTGCCATTTCACAACGCAAATGGGGGAGATGCCTGTCTGAATGGTTCTCCCAAACCAAAATGTGAAAGTCCACAAGTAGACCCAGCCAGACTGCTCCTCCCTAAGCCGTTCTACATCATCAAAGCCACTCAAAAAAGGACTGCCAATAATTGTGAAAATTACGGCTGACCCACTGACAGGCCCCACTTGGAGAGGCCAGTCCTCACAACCACTTCCTTGGTCCAAATGCTGCAGCCAGGCCTTGCAATCCCCTCCCATGTTCTACATAGCACATCTAGTTGCCACGTGTTGTGTTTGGACCAGTCACGCATATATAATTGCCACCCGTTCTGTCTGGACTAGACTCCTAGGGCTGATGCAAGAAGACCTCTTGCCCCCTTATACTTATTATCCCCAGGATACCCCCTTCCCCAGGATAGGAAGCATGCTTTTGAAACCCCCTAGCTTCTCAGGCCTTGCGCTGCCTCAGATGCAGGAAAGACTCCATCTTCAATATAAAACCCAAGATCAGGCTATGCACAGTTTAGAAGCCAGTGCCCAAGGGAGCAGCCCGTTTCCCATGGGAACTCTGGTAAACCCCAATCAAGGCTCTTCCCTTTGACTCTCAAGGCCCTGGCCACAGTTAACAACCTTGCAGCATAATAAACAAACCTCTTAAGGCAAGTCAGGAACGTCCCTCATAATGTAGACTCCTCAAGAAACCTAATCAAAGACTAGGGTTGTCAGGTCTGGGTTGGAAAATACCTGGAGATTTTGGGGGTGGATCCGGGAGAGGGTGGGGTTTGGGGAGGGGAGGTGCCTCAGCATGACACAATGCCAGAGAGTCCACCCTTCAAAGCAGCCACTTTCTCCAGGGGAGCTGATCTCTGCCAGCTGGAGATCAGTTGTAAAAGCGGGAAATCCCCAGGCCCCACCTGGAGGCTGGCAACGCTATCAAAGACAAAGGCAGGATGACCTCATCTCCTGGCCCATTGATGGCAGGCTTTAGTTGGGCCATCAGTCATTTTAATTCAATCATGTTATTCACCGTCAAAACTTTATCTCACCCCATCAGCACTTCAGTCAGAGCCCTCTGTAAAATGTGAGGTCCTCAGTAGCAAAATGGATCCAAATAACCACAGCAATTCTAGTTACTCCTCAAAGAGTCTGAGCCAATGACATTTGCCCCACAGTCAATGCTCAGGTAAAAGAGGTATAAAAGAGGCACCATTGAACAAGCAGTTTAAGTCCAGTCATCACTCCAGACTGTTCCTTCCTCAGCATAAGACTATTTAGAAACCAAGGCTTAAAGGCTGGCAATACTATTTTCTTGCTTAACAATGGCCACTGGGGGTGTTGGCTTCTTAAAGCTACAGGTGCTGCTTCTATTAGCAGATTATTATTTTTTTGCAACCCCAGAGCATTTTTTAGGTATGTAGAAAGATCTGAATTGTCTGTCCATTGACCGCCTCTTTTTCCTCACCTTTCCTTTATGTATTTTGTATGTTCAATAAAGATCAAATATAGTTGAGTTCAAATCTCCCACCACAATTCTGCTTGAGATATTATTCTACAACTGTGTCTGTGTATATATGGAGTAGGGTCCCTTATCTCAGGATTTTAGGGGTGCATGTTTATAGGCCATACATGTGACTAACCTGGTAACACATGTGTCACATCACATCTCTCCTCCCTCCCCCACACTGATGAAGCAGATACCAGGCTTCACCCCCAAATCTCCAGGAATTTTCCAACCAAGAGATGGCAACCCTACTTGCAAAACCTTCTCTAAGCAGCTTGCAGAGGTTTAGAAATGCAAGAGGTTTTCCTGCTTCTATTTGAGTTGTCTTCCTTAAATGTTGTTTTGGCTTTTTTCTGATTGCACAATTGCCATTAAGAGAACAAGACAGGCTCAGGGGTTGACCAAGTTCTGAAAATATTGAAGTGTTGTGCCCCCCCCCCCCAAGGTTAATCCAGCAAAAACTCCTCAGCCTCACCTGCTTCTTCACATTTTCGATTTCAGCTCGTAGCCTCTGAATTGTCCGGTTGAGCTCAGAGATCTCAGCCTTGGTGTCTCGCAGACTGTCACCATGTTTCCCAGCATTCATCTGGAGCTCTTCATACTGGCATACAGAAAGAAGAGAAGGTCCAATTTTGTCATAGCTAGCAAAATAATATTTTGCAACCAGGCCCATTGGCTAACTGATGGAGGTTTCTCCAAAGACTTGGAGGTCTTTTGGAGGTTTCCTCCATAAAAGAAAGGAAGATGGCAGTACCACACAGACTGTTTTGTTTTAGACTGGCAAGAGAAATAAATGCCCGGAAACTGACCTTGGTTTGGTACCAAGACTCTGCTTCTAATCGGCTCTTCTGAGCAATCTCTTCATACTGAGTTTTGACTTCGGCTATGATGCTGTTCAAGTCCAGGCTTCGGTTGTTGTCCATTTGAAGGACAACAGAGGTGTCGGAAACGGTCTGCTGTACCTGGCTGAGTTCCTGTGAAAGTCATGCAGACATTAGCTCAACCATACTTTCGTTTTAGATGTATCTCGATGCACCTGTTTCTTTCCTCCGTAATCTGCCTGCATTTTCAAAAGTGACTAATGGCAGCGGGAACCAAAGCTGGCACACCTAAAGAGTCATGCTATTATTTTGCTGGAGTTTCTGGCACTCCAAAGTGAATTAAAAAATGTGCTGCCATTATTATACATTAGCCATATACCCATTATAATAATAGGTAGGGTGTATATGGATTTACACAGAGCAAGTATCTCAGGGGATGTAGTCCCTCTTGTACCCTCTGTGGGATACTTGTCATATTTGGCGATACCGTTGTGTTCCTTTCTACAGTATATGGTATTGCTTTATATATTAAATAGAGTCTGTTCCTATCTCACTATTGGAATAGCACCAATTTATTCATACGGGGAAAAGTAATCAGTGCACACTGGGACACCACTGATGTGGATAGCTCAACCTGCTTCTTGCCTCTAACTTTCCCGGACAGCGAAAATCAAACCTGTTCCTGTTTGCATAGCCCCATCTCTTCATCTGCCTAAACCCATCCTGGGTTTTAGTTCTTGGTCATTCTGGAGAGGCAACTAGTTTGTACCTGAGAGCGTCTCGCCAAGAATTAGTGCATGGCAGGCAAGATACTTACAAACAAACTAACAGAGCAACTAGAAAAAGCTACCAGTGCAAACATTCCAATATCATTTACTGCCATTTCATTTTGTTGAAACATGTACAAAGCTTTTACAGTCTTTTCATCCTAACCCAAGCCATGCTTACTGAAAAGTACATATCCAAAGATTTCAGTGGCTTCATTGACTTTTGCAAGCAAATTCAAATTCATTTTGAACATCCCTCCCCTTCCAAAACTATTTGTTTTCAGCTCATTATTTCCCCAGGTGCCTGCAAAAAACAACAACAACAAAACTACTTACTGCTTCATACAGACATCTTATGAAGTTGATTTCATCTTCCAAAGCATCCAGTTTGGCCTGCAGTTCCACTTTGTTCATATAAGCAACATCCACATCCTACAGGAAAGAACAGAGGAGGGTTCCGCTATCAGCAGTGGAAATAAAAATAATAACAACAACAAATAGGGCCTTCAGATCTTCCAAATGCCAGCTCTCCCAGCACCTCAGACCTTCAAACCACAACAAAGGTGCTAAGAATGCTCATCTATTACACAATAGCTGTGGAATTCCACAGACAGATTGAGGAGAAAAGGTGGCCCAAAGCTCTGAGGGCTTTTCTACCCCTCCTACAACATCCAGCTCCCAGCCTCCAGTTCTAGCCCTGTACCTTGTCAGCATCACATACCACCATCTCTTCTCTTCTTCCACTAGTGGAAGGGGAAGAATCTCTTTGGCGCTGCTGGCTTCTTAGAACAGTCAGCTTCTCTTTGATGGCACCATCATATAAGGCCCTCTAAAATAGCACTGCCCTGTCCTGGATGGCCCAGTCTAGCCTGATCTCAACAGATCTTGGAAGCTAAGCAGGGTTTGCCCTGGTCAGTGTTTGGATGGGAGACCACCAAGGAAGTCCAGAGTCGCTACACAGAGGCAGGCAATGGCAAACCACCTCTGAAGGTCTCTTGCCTTGAAAACCCTACAAGGTCACCATAGGTCAGCTGAGACTTGACAGAAATTTCCACCACCAAAATGACTCTGGAATTCTTAAGAGTCCAGATTCTCCAGGGCAACACCGTCAAACAGGATACCGTAGGAACCTGATTCTAGCTCAGTACATAGGTTTGCCAGGCATGAGGTAGGTACTTACTGCAGGGAGTAGCGATCTTCATCACTGCACGACCCAGAAGGTCCAGCATTGCACTGGGGCGCTGCGCTAGCATTTCCCCCCAGACTCTATGGTGGTCATGCTGGAAGCGATATCATTGTGCACCAATGAAGATCACTCCCCACAGTTGTGTCAACCTGCTTCCACCTGCTGACCAGATGAGCATTGATGGGCATCAGCAACAATTTTCAGGAGCGTGTCTGCCATTAGCCTACCACTACGGACAACCCCCCATGTGTTCATTCTCTGTACAGGAAGGGCATGAGTACACAGCCCCCCCCCACCTCTGTGTGATCTCTTAGTTGTCTGCATGGGATGAATGCACAGAGGAATTCCTGCGCATGTGCCCCTCCCCATCATGACACAGGTTTTGGTAAATTGCCAATCACGGGGAGTGTGGATGCATGCATTTGCCTTTTCCAGTGTTTGCCTTTTCCAGACCACTAAGTGATCATGCTGAGACAGTGGGGGGGGGGGCAGAGTGCTCATGGCTAATTTCCGTCACCATGTGATCTGTTCCCTGCATTCGCTCAACAGCAGGGGAACAACAATGGTGTAAGGTGTTATGGCTCTGTTTATATGGCATCTCTCCACCAGAAAGCTCTCCCTTTCAGCTCCAGCATGCCAGAGAGATGACAGAGAGAAAGAACTGGCTTTTGTTTCTCGGTTTCCTAGGAACAGGTTGGCTTTGATATAAAAGGGAAAGATCAAACTGCAACAGGCCAAGCAATAGCATTACCATGAATTGGTCTTTCTTGTGTAGCACATGGACACTTTGAGGCCCACCTCACAGTCAACCACCACAATAGATGACAAGTATCCCATGATGCATTTGTTCAGAAGCAAGCAATGGATGGACTGGAGCATGAAAAATACCTGCTTACTCACTTTCCATGTTGAACTGACTAGCTGTCAAACTAAGTAATGTAATACATATATTCTGACCCACTGTATGCCATTTAATAGGAATGCCAGCCTCCAGGTGAGACCTGGGGATCCCCAGGAATTACAGCTCATCTCCAGACTACAGAGATGAGTTCCCCTGGAGAAAATGGATGCTATGGAGGGGGGGACTCTATGGTATTGTACCCCACTGACGTCCCTGTCCTCCCCAGGCTCCATCCCCAGATCTCCTGGAGTTTCCCAACCTGGATCTGGCAACCCTTCCCTTTCCTATCCCCTGCTAGTGGCCAGGGGGGACCTAGCAAACCTACATGCCAAATTTCCTTTACAAAAAAAGCAAACTAAAGTTCTCACCTTTTTCAAGAGCACAAAATCATTCTCTGCTGTTGTACGCCCATTAATTTCTTCTTCATATCTGGTCAATACAACAACAACAACAGAAGAGAAAAATTAAGTTCAAAGACTTTCACTTATTAATTTCCTCTTCATATCTGGTCAATGCAACAAGAAAAACAGAACAGATCTTCAAGTTCAATAACTTTTGATTCCTACACCTGCACATCCATCCTGTGTGGCTACCATTTTGTTTCTCTTCTACCCATAATCCCGTTCAAAGACTTTCACTTATTAATTTCCTCTGGTCAACGCAACAAGAAAAACAGAACAGACCTTCAAGTTCAATAACTTTTGATTCCTCAGCAATTTTCCTCTAACACCTGCATATCCATCCTGTGTGGCCACCATTTTGTTTCACTTCTACCCATAATCCCAATGACTGTTAATTTCCCACACCTCTCAATTCAGCCCACTGGCTGGTCCCCCACTTCAGAAGACCTTCCTGGCATCAACCAGAGCCTGTGCCTTTTCCACTGAAGCTCCCACTTTGCAGAATGGGCTTCCTCAGGAGGTGAGTGGGACATTGCCTTTAGCAATTTTCGGGAGGCTCTGCAAGGCCATTTTATTTGCCAGGCCTTTTAATGGGATATGCAGCCATCTTTTTTGTAGGGGGGTGGTCATTTGGGATTTTATTTTACCACGTTAAAATTGTAACATTTTCATTATAACTTTTAAGCCAGCTTGAGCTCTGAGGAAAAGTGGGATATAAATATTTAAATAAATACATTCCTGGTCTCAGTATTATATATTCTTCCAAAACTCTGATCATGAAAGCAGAATAAATGGGATTTAAAATCAAGATCTGCAAAAATACTTATTTTCCCCCTATAATGTATTCTGATTAGGTAAAGGTAAAGGTAGAGGTTTCCCTTGCTCGAAAGCCAGTCGAATCCGACTCTAGGGATTCAGTGCTCGTCTCCGTTTCCAAGCCGAAGAGCCATTGCTATCCAAAGACATTTCCACGGTCATTTGGCCAGCAGGACTAGATGCCGAGGCGCACGGAACGCTGTTACCTTCCCACCGAAGTGGTACCTATTTATCTACTTGCAATGTCTTGCTTTCGAACTGCTAGGTTGGCAGGAGCTGGGACCAGAGACGGGAGCTCACTCCGTCATGCGGCACTCGGGTCTCAAACTGCTGAACTACTGACCTTCCACAGCCTGCAGTTCAGCGTCTTAACCACTTGAGCTACAGAATACCAAAAGAACAAAAACGAACAAACCCCAACCCTGTTCATATTTTGATTGTGAGTGGGGAGGAGGAAGGGAGAGGATACTCAGCCTAGCCTTCCATTTTTCTAAACTGTATTCACAATAAAAGCCCTTCTGACTTAACCTGGTATGCAAGTGAAAGAGAGTGAGAGTACAAACTAATCCTCAGAAATATGCTGTGGGTTTATTCGGCAGTGCAAGTACATGACTCACGCACTATTCTTCATAGTTTCCATTCTTCTGACTCACTTCCCTAGCAGCCTGCATTCAATATGCTTTGGCACCAGCCACACAAGGAATTTGCTGAATGGACTGATCAACATATAATAGTTTCCAACTGGACCTATTTATTAAATAGCAGCACTTCTTTTCAAACGCCGAGTGCCAGTTTCTGGTGCTTATTCACATTTGTAGTTGTCACATGAATCTCTTTGGTTGGTGGAATCCCAGATTTTGTGCTATACCGAAAGATCTGGCATCTTTATTAGGCTATATAATATTACTGCCCTGGCCTGGATAGCTTAGGAAGTCCAGGGTCATTACACCAAGGCAAGCAATGGCAAACCACCTCTGAACCTCTCTTGCCTTGAAAATCCTTTGGGGTTGCCATAAATTGGCTGTGACTTGATGTCAAATAAAAATAATACTGAACGCCACCATGTATTAAACAAGTAAAAGCACTCAGTTTGCAATATATAAATAAAAAATCATGATTTCCCCCCATGATTCTGAGAAATGTCTACTTCAGAGTTGAGAATGGTTGGAAATCAATTGCAGTATCAAGTTATTTGCGTTAGCTATTGGCTGCAATGATGATAAAAGTACAAACACTCAAAATAAACCAAAATGGTTGCTCTGTACGCGTTAAACAAAATGACCTACGCTCTTTATAAGTATATTGCCCAGTGCGATACGATACCTGTAATAGAACTGGGGGAAATCTGGGTTCAAATCCTGATTGGTTATGAAAGTCACTGAGGGACAGTCATTATCTCTCAGCCGACTCTACCTCACAGGGTGGTTGTGAGTATAAAGTGATAAAATCCTTTCAAATCAACTACATTTCTACTTAGAAATCCCTACCCACTTTCTGCCATTTATTCTTCACAGGTCTATAATGAGCTACTCTCAGGACTGTATGATATGCAAGTATTTTTTCATTTATAATGGAATACATGCCTTTTAAATTGTGTTGCATGATAATCTACACATGAGATCTATATCACTTCCTACACAGAACTCCTTTCCGTACATGGAAAATTGTACAACTGAAGGGGATCTTACCCTATTTTCTTCTAAGTCAATGTACAAAACATAATTTAGAATGTGCAAAATAAATACCCAAATAAGCCTGTCTGCAGTGTATACCCCCCATTAAAATCCCTTCCAGTGGGGGGAAAGTGCTTCATGGTCATTTGCTTTGCAGTAATATCCCCTTACTTGTTCTTATAATCCTCCACAAGGTCCTGGAAGTTCTTAAGTTCTGAATCCAGACCTCTCCTCTCACCCAGAAGACAGTCATGTTGTTTCCTCAGGTTGTTGATATAAGCTTCAAAAATCTGATCAAGGTTCCTGTGACCAACACCAGTCCCGTGACCCTGTTCTTGCAAGAGTTTCCATTTTGTCTCCAGAACTTTATTCTGCTGTTCTAGAAAACGGACCTGCAACAAGAAAAAAGGGGGGGTGTGGAGAAAGAAAGAATAATTTAACAAGTGATACAGAAATCCTTGAAGGAAGCAGTTGGGGTTTTCTAGTACATGTCCCTGTTGAATTGTTGTTCCAGTGTGGTCCTTATTTTGCCTGGTATTGTCTTTTTTGTAATGTTGGTAGTGTGAGTTTCTGGAGAACTTCAGGTTTCAGCTCCTTCCCCAGGTCTCTAGAGAGGACCTAGAAGTGGGAGGGCAGAAACATCTCTATTGCCCATTGATGGGGGGTTGTGGCTCAGTGGGAGGGCATCTGCTTTGCAGGCAGAAGGTCTCAGATTTAGTCCCCAGTATCTCCAGTTATTTACTTATTTCTTTCATTTCCACCTTTCTCCCCAAAGGAGACTCAAAGGAGCTAACATCATTCTCCTCTCCTCCATTTCATCCACACAACAATCCTGTGAGTTAGGCTGGGTGTGTGTGACAGGCCCAAGGTCAACCAGAAAGCTTCCATGGCAGAGTAGGGATTGCAGCCTGGGGTTGACAGGGTCAGGTAGTAAGTAATGTGGAAGACCTGTCTGCTTCAAACCCTGGTAAACCACACCCAATCAGGATGAACCATGCTGACCTTGACAGACTAATGGTCTGTCTCAATATAACACAGCTTTATGTAAATGCCCGTACTTAAATACTAAAGCACTATGGGCCAAAGTCCTCCTGGCCGCCACAAGGGCCCGCAGTGAGTTTTTTTGGTACTTGAAAAAGCACGGAGGGAACAAGGCACTGCTTGAAAATGGCAGTGGAGTCCTCATGGCAGCCATGAGGACACTATCGTATTTATTTTGGCCCTGTGTAAAACGCAGCAGCATGCCGTTTCAGATATTGCCACTGCAGAGATTTGTTTTGAACTACTGATAGGATATTACGGGAGACCATTTTTTATAAGATATTATGGGAGACAACAAAAGAACAAGCCCCTCCTTTCCTTTTGTTATCCTCCAGGTGGATAATAAAGGAACCACCATTTGCTGAGACTTTTGAAAGAAACTGGATGCATGGTGGGGACTCTTTTCACATTGCTAAGTTCATTTCATCATTGATATCACAGTAACAGGTGCCCCTTTCTTACTGGAGCCTTCCTTATGAAATATTTAATGTGATTGCTATATAACACAGCTTTATGTAAATGCCCGTACCTAAACACTATGGGCCAAAGTCCTCACGGCCGCCACAAGGGCCCCCTGTGAGTTTTTTGGTACTTGAAAAAGCACGGAGGGAACAAGGCACTGCTTGAAAATGGCAGTGGAGTCCTCATGGCAGCCATGAGGACACTATCGTATTTATTTTGGCCCTGTGTAAAACGCAGCAGCATGCCGTTTCAGATATTGCCACTGCAGAGATTTGTTTTGAACTACTGATAGGATATTACGGGAGACCATTTTTTATAAGATATTATGGGAGACAACAAAAGAACAAGCCCCTCCTTTCCTTTTGTTATCCTCCAGGTGGATAATAAAGGAACCACCATTTGCTGAGACTTTTGAAAGAAACTGGATGCATGGTGGGGACTCTTTTCACATTGCTAAGTTCATTTCATCATTGATATCTCAGTAACAGGTGCCCCTTTCTTACTGGAGCCTTCTTTATGGAATATTTAATGTGATTGCTAATCCAGCCTCATGAATGGATGTCACTACTGCATTTGCTGCAAGATCATGCCCACACACTACTTGGGTACAACCTGTGTCCAGATTCCACTGCTCCGTCTGCCCTCCCTCTGCCCTGCCCACAAAGCAGGGTGCCTCCCAAAGGCAAAATCTGTATTACAGCCTCCATGTCTTACTCCTCTGCGAGAACCTTGAAACCCAGTTGGTGGTTGAAAGGAGCAACAAATCAATCGGAAAGGGCAAACATTTGTTGCACCACCAATGCAAATCATGCTCTTCAGGAACATCTACACCGCACCCCGAGAGGAAGGGGTGCACCCAAAACACATCTAACACAATCCAGATGGATGTGCAACAGTTTTGCCTCCCTCCTCTATCAGAGAAGGGTCGTTTTGAGACCAGCTCTTCTGGGAAAAGAAGGATACACTCTTCTTTCCCTATGGTCTCTCCCATTTCTTTCTGTTTAATACTCTATGCATGGGAAACTAGCACAAGGATACAAACTAAGGTCTCATCAGTAGCACAGATGTGAACCAAATAATAATTCCTTCTCCATGGGGGAAGATCTCTGAGAATTCTCAGCAACTTTACCAAACTGCAATTCCAGGATACTTTGGGGAGGAAGCCATAACAATGAACTGTTTGTAGTATAAATATGACCTTAAATTCTTCTTTCCATTCTGTTCCTATTCCCCTGAATTTCTCAGGAACTGCAAATTACCTTCATGTTAACAACATTTGGCCATCCTTACTATAAAGTACAAAATACAATTTTTATACCATCTCCTATATTTTCTCCTGGTTTGAGATTAAGTAACAAAGGTTATTTGGTGCAACTTCCACTGGAAATAAACACTTGAATTTACTTCACAACTTTTCATTCTTGAAATGTTTAGCAAAAATCAGGTCAGATCATAGAGATAACAGTTTCTATAAGTTGGGATACAGTAATACTCTCATAAACATCTCACCTTGTCAATAAAGGAGGCAAATTTGTTGTTGAGGGTTTTGATTTGCTCCCTCTCGTGAACCCTCACTTTTTGGATTTCGGGGTCTATCTCCAGGTTGAGGGGTTGCAGGAGGCTCTGATTGATGGTCACCTCTTTGATACCTCCAGGTGGGCACACGGGAAATGCAGGGCCACCGGTGCCATCAAAGCAACCACCAAACCCTCCACCAAAGCCATTACCACCGCCAAATCCTCCACCAAAGCCACCACCAACTCCATAACCTCCACCTCCTCGGCCACAAGCACCACCACCAAATCCACCAATAGAGATTCTTTTGTTCCCCCCTAGATTATACAGGCTCCTGCTGCCAAAACCGCCACCTCCGCTGCCGCCACGGATAGAACATCCACGGGTTGTGGAAGCGGTGTTGAAGCTGACTCTGTTTCCACCTCCAAAGCAAGCAGAGCTGGAGCTGAAGCCCTTGCTGCCTCCTCCAATGCTTCTGGCATAAGATTGACGAGACATATTGGACAGCAGAGAGGTTGTCTTGGTTGGGATGTTTCCAAGGAAGAGTTCCTAGTAATGAGTGAAGCTGAGCCCCTCTGACAGTGAGAGCAAAAATTTAGCTTTTTATCTATTCAGGGAGCTGGCTGGGTGACAGGGGAGTGGAAAATAAAATGCTCATTTTATTGTATTCCTAAGCTTAGGTGTGCTTGGCACCCTCCCTCTCACACCGTGCCAAAAACTGACCTTCCCTGAAACACACCCCAGGGAGCTGAAGAGCATGCAATATGACGGTGAACTCCTGACAACCTCAGCTTACCTGTGTCACCCTTCTGTCAACTAAGACTAAATTTACTGAGAGCCATGCCTGTACAACAGGGCATGAAGTTACCTTGACATTCTTTTGCCCTGCAGGGAAAATAATCCCCTGGCTAACATCTCTCCATCACTCCCTTTTCTTAAAGTCTGATGGCAGATGGTTCTTTTCAGAGGGTTCCAAGGAAACCTGCTGACATGCACAGTTCAGTAAAATCCGCACCCAGGATTGCAACATATCATATATCAGTATTTCTTTCAGGGAATCAAAAATAAATCCCACATCACATCTGACTTTTGGGTTTCTGAAGGAAAAGACATTTCCTCAGCTCAAGGTTGAAATCCAAGTGACAACAGGATTCAGTTAAGTGGTAGCAGGATTGGTGATGAGAACCAAAAATGGAGTGTTGAGATTTGTCAGAATGCCAGTCATTACGAGTATATGAAACTGCTTTACACTGGAGCCAAGCCATTGGTCCATTTAGCTCAGTATTCTATTCAGAGTTGGAGGGAGCTCTCTCCAGGGGCTCAGTATGGCAGGGAGTGGGGTGTAGAATAAGAGCCTCCATATTCAATGGATTTCTGGGGACTGCAAAGCACTGAAGGCCAATCCACACAATATGAAGGCCTCATTGCCGTCATAAAGCAGATGTGCTCCATGTGCAAGGGGGGTTCAGATGTGCAAGGGGGGGGAGGGTTCTGCACCTCCCAGATTCATGTGAGCACAATTCTGATCACCGGCATGAAGAGATGGGGCTTCAGCTTCCACTGCCTACACACTACATTTTCACATCATGAAATGGTCCTGTGGGGCAGCTAGTTGCCCAGCTGTGCAAACTTACAATGTAGTCATGTGACTTATGTAATTTTCTCAACAGCAGTTCGCCAGGGCTATTTCAGGATTCAAAAACAGTGCAGGGGTGAGGCCGAAACTCCTTCTCGACATGGACCACAGTTGCAGTCAGAACTGGGCCTGCATGGGAGTCCCAGAACTCCCATCACACTTCTGGTACAAAGGCATTGTGATAACCACAGTACCATTCCCAGATGTCCAGTTACAATGGGGGAACCCCTGCCAGAGCTCCCTTTCCCCTCCCTCCCAGGAGAAAAAATGGAGGAGAAAGCAGTATTGTGTAATGACATCACCATATCGTGCAATTGTGAAAGAAATTATCCTGTTCTCTATGGTTTTTACCATAGAGTTTTAGGGAAAGCATAGAGCAGCATATGTCACGGTGACATCACTTCCAGTTACACAGCCAGAAATGGTATTGTGTAGCTGCACGATTCCATCCCTTCCTGTCTCTGCCACCACTGGCCACCCTAGGCCACAAAGATTTTGAATCATGTGAACTAGGCAACCATCGAGTATTGATCAGGGTGGGGTGCAAGTGTTGCTCTCGCCACAAAACTGACCCCAAGTGCAGAACATATTGAAGTACACAGTGAGATTCATCCAGAACTTCCTCTTACCTCAGGTAGGATACAGGCCAATGCTCCTTAATCCCTTGTTCCCCCAGGCCTCTTTAAATGTAGCACATTGTGCACCTTGAAACCCTGAGTCATTATTTTCACACCATTTTCTCTTTTCTCGCACTAAATGTTTCCCATTAAATGCATGCAATTTTTAACATTACTTTTGTATCAATTGTATAGTTGTAAAAGTAAAAGCTGCGGTGGCTCAAATGGTTAAGACGCTGAACTGCAGGCTGTGGAAGGTCGGTAGTTCAGCAGTTCGAGACCCGAGTGTGCCGCATGATGGAGTGAGCTCCCGTCTCTAGTTCCAGCTCCTGCCAACCTAGCAGTTTGAAAGCAAGAAATTGCAAGTAGATAAATAGGTACCACTACAGTGGGAAGATAACAGCGTTCCATGCAGCTTGGTGTTTAGTCATGCCGGCCACATGACCACGGAATTGTCTTCGGACAGCGCTGGCTCTTCGGCTTTGAAACGGAGATGAGCACCGCAACCCTACAGTCGGTTTCGACTGGCTTTTGAGCAAGGGAACCTTTACCTTTACTTTAAAAGTAGCCAAAATAGTTGAAAAGGGCTGTAATAATGCCAAAGAAGAAAGACATAAATGGAGAATCTGAGAATATAACCACTGAAAAGGAGCAAAACAAAAAGACTCACAACAACAACATGTAAAAGTGAACAAGGCACACCCAGGCATTTCTGATGAGTTTCATTTAGACAGGGCTTTTTTTTTAGAAAAAGCCCAGCAGGACTCATTAGCATAATAGGCCACACCCTCATGCCTTCCCTTGGCTTGTCCGGGTGCCCCGCAGCTGCGGGAAGCCCGGACAAGCCGGCCCTTGGACAGGCCGGGGAAGGCACGGGGAGGCATTTAAATGCCTCCCTGATCCTTCTAGGGGCCCCCCGGCCTGCCCACCTCAGAGTCACCGGGGGGGGGTCGCTTTCCAGGCCTCACCTGGCCACGCAGAGGTCTTGGCTGTAGAGGGCGTGGCCAAACTCTGAAGCCAGCCGGAACTCCTCTCCTGTGCAGTCCTGCCCAAAAATAGCCCTGCATTTAGAACTGTGGTATCCACAAGAACTCTCTCATATGTGCTCCAGGTTGGTGAAGGAGAGAGACCTGGGGACCTGGAGACACACTGACTTGGGGGGGGATGTTGTTTGGGTGAAGGTCAACAACAAAATGGCAGATGATCTGATCTGATCAGGAAAATTTATGCAGGACTTCCCACCCTGCTGAAGGCCAATCAGGTATTGAAAGGAGAAACATTTCCATGCTCGATCCCTTCCACTCCGGCTTCCGCCCAGGCCATGGGATGGAGACGGCACTGGTCGCCCTCACAGATGACCTCCAGAGGCATCTGGATCAGGGCAGGACAGTGGTGCTGCTGTTGTTGGACCTGTCGGCAGAATTCGACATGGTCGACCACCAGTTAATGGCCCACCGCCTCGCCGACATAGGGATTCAGGGGCTTGCCTTGCAATGGCTCATCTCCTTTCTCCAAGGTTGGGGACAAAGGGTGGCTCTCGGGGAGCAGTTGTCCCGAAGGCACCCGCTGATCTGCAGAGTGCCTCGAGGGGCGGTGCTGTCTTCAATGCTAATCAACATCTACATGCGCCCCCTTGCCCAGATTGCCCGGAGACACAGGCTTGGGTGTCACCAATATGCAGATGACACCCAGCTATATCTGTTGTTGTGCAGTCAATCCAACTCTACCCCAGAAGACCTGGACCAGGCATTACAGGACATGGCTGGATGGCTTAGTCTGGGCCGATTGAAATTGAATCCGATGAAGACGGAGGTCCTGTGCCTGAGTTGGAGCGGATAGGGGGTAGGGAACCCATTACCAGCCTTCGATGGGACACCGTTGGTGCCAGCGCTGAGGGTCAGGAGTTTGGGAGTGCTCCTGGATGCCTCCTTAACAATGGGGGCCCAGGTAGCAGCCACTTCCAAGGCAGCCTTTTACCATCTTCGGCTGATTAGGCAGTTGGTTCCCTTCCTCAAACGCAATGATCTGGCAACAGTGATCCATGCTATGGTCATCTCAAGGTTAGACTACTGCAAAGCTCTCTTCATGGGGCTGCCCTAGGTGCAACTCCAGAAGCTGCAGCTGATGCAAAATGCTGCAGCCAGGCTGTTGATGGGTCTCCCTATGCGAGAGCACATCCAGCCTGTGCTGAAGGCATTGCACTGGCTGCCAATATCATACCAGATTCACTTTAAGGTGCTGGTTTTGACCCTTAAAGCCCTTTATGGTCAGGGACCTGCCTATCTAAGGGACTGCCTTTCCCCACATGTTCCCCAGAGAGCACTATGGTCAGGGTCACAAAATAATCTGCCCCACCCCCCGGTCCAAAGGACACCAGGCTGGTATCGACTAGGACTAGGGCCTTTTCTGCAGCTGCTCCTGCTTACTGGAATGAGCTTCCAGATGAGATCAGGGCCCTGCAAGACCTTTCACAGATCCGCAGGGCCACAAAAACGGAGCTCTTCCATCAGGCATATGGGTGGGAGCCACGTCTTACCATCTATGTCCTGTCCCAGCCTTATTCCCAGCCTGAGCCCGCTGATAGTGGAGGTACTGCTTATCTTCTTATAGTCACACCGCCATCGCTATGTTAAGGGTTTTAATAACTTACTGTGTATTTTATACTAATATTTATATTAATTTATATTGTTGTTTTATCTATGGTTCTCTTGTAAGCCGCCCTGAGCCTGCCCCGGCAGGGAAGGTGGGGTAAAAATCAAATAAATAAACCATACACGGCAAATAAGGTTGAGAAAAATGATCTCTCAGTTATTTAAAACCACCCAGATGTTGATGTTGAAGCTTCTCTTGTCTGGAGGGTATTTCTGCTGTAATCAGACTGAAGATTAACAAAACCAAAGGACCATGGTATGTACAGATACATCAATTGCAATGCTGAGGGAATCACCAGTCAAACATATTATGTGGTACTAAACCTTACAAAATTCACTGAGGAGAATCTAAGCCTGCTGTGAATTTCTGTAGGTTTAGTACTATGTACATATGTTTGATTGGTGATTCCCTCAGCATTGCAATTGATGTCAGCTTCATGACAATTGTTGGAATTGGATTAGAAAATCTGTACATTTTTCTGTAATAGTTCAATGATTTGACTTCCTCATTGGAAATTTTTGATGTTTGTCAGGGCTGTTTCAGGATTCAAACACAGCTTTAACATCTGAAGAAGTCATGTGAAACAGAATTTCTTTTCTACCAGTCCCTGTAGTCCCTCAAGCCTCAGTTGGCCATCTGGAAGCTCATTCCATTGGCCAACTGAGGCTTGAGGGACTACAGGCTTCTCTTATGTTCTTATGTGAAGTCCTGTATACT